TGGGCAACTTGGTGAGACCTCATCTCTACAATAAATCAAAAAATTAGCCAGACATGGTGGCGCACGCCTATAGTTACAGGCACTTGGAAGGCTGAGGCAGGAGTATTGTCTGAGCCCAGCAGGTCAAGGCTGTGGTGGCCGTTAGCATGCCACTGTGCTCCAGACTGGGTGACAGAGTGAGATTCTGACTCAAAAAACAAGTGATCCTTCTCGGTCCCACTCCATCCCAGGCTGAGGCTCGAGTTGGCAGAGAAAAGAGAGAAGGAGAGACAGCTTCCCAGCCACTCCAGAATGCACAAGAACCCCTTGGAAGCCACTCTCAGCCCTTTCACCACTTCAGGGACCTCTGGTGAACTCCGGGGCAGCCCGGCCCCAGTCTGGAATGCCCAGCTGCCCCTGAGAGGCTGTGCCTGTCCCTGAACACTCACACCCTTGACCTAAGGTGGACCGGCCCAACCAGGAGCTTCAAAAGGCAGCATTAGCCAGGTGTGGTGGCTCATGCCCATAATCTCAGCACTTTGGGAGGCTGAGGTGGGAGGATCACTTGAGCCCAGGATATCAAGGCTGTGGTGAGCTATGATCGTGTCACTGCACTCCACACCAGGTGACAGAGTGAGACCTGACTCTAAAAAGCAAAAATAAATATAAAAATTAAAAAAGAAAGAAGCCGGGCTCGGTGGCTCAGCCTGTAATCCCGCACCTTTGGGAGGCTGAGGTGAGTGGATTGCCTGAGCCTGCGAGTTCGAGACCCACCTGGGCAACTTGGTGAGACCTCATCTCTACAATAAATCAAAAAAAGTCAGCCGGGCGTGGTAGCGTGCACCTGTAGTTCCAGCTACTTGGAAGGCTGAGGCGGAAGGGTCACCGGAGCCCAGCAGGTCGAGGCTGCGGTGGCTGGGAGCGGCCACTGCACTCCAGTCCAGGCGACAGAGTGAGACTCCAACTCAAAAAAAAGAAAGAAAAGGCTCTCTGTGCACCCAGTCTTCGAACTTTCCACCCCCCCCCCCCCCCCGCCGCCCTCCTAGGCTCTAATTCCATCTAGATCACACCGTGTTAGTTTCACCACCTAAAAGCTCTAGAATCATGCCTGACTCCCAGCTCTGGTACTGGAATACCCCACCCCTCCGAAATGTGTCTGATCCCAGACCTCCCTGTGGCTACTTGTACCACTCTCCCCCAGCTTTGCACAACTTATATCCATGCATTTATTATTTTTATCTTTTATTTAAGAGAGGGGAGTCTCACTATTTTGCCCAGGCTGGTCTTGAACTCCTGGACTCAAACAGTCCTCCTGCCTTGGCCTCCTGAGTTGCTGGAATCACAGGTGTGAGCCACCACACCAGGCTGAACTATTTATTATTTATTTACTTACGTATTTGTTCTTATTTTTGTTT